GATSAATTTTCTCCCGTTACATTACCCTCACCTTAAGAGCAAAGCCTCCTGGCTGCGAAAAATTCAAAAGGTACAATGCGTAATGAAGAAAAAAAACTGAGCACTTTCGTAGCTATCACGGGACGCAACCGTATCCAATACCGGTCAAGGCTAATCATAGGCCTCCGGGGGTCGCAATCAAAAAAAATTACCCAATGTCCTTTACCAATAGTACTCGATGAGTTCTAAAGGCTTGAGAATCACTGTGATCTACATACTAATTGTTTCTATAACTTGATTTGTAAAAAGGAATAATAATTCTAAAATATCTCTAAACTATGATTAAAGTCTATTTGTTTTAGCCTAGATCATGGTCGCCATAATGTTCCTTAGAAAAGGAGCACCTTTAGATACTATTGAGTGGATGTACATTTCTGTGAAGCAACATATTACCGCGACAGCAGTATCGTTGCCTTGCTCTTCTTTCTTGCTTTCTTCATATTCGGCAATCAGCGAATAATCGAAGATATTCTCCTGCGGTTCCCAGGTGTTTTCACTTGCAGGATAATCTTTCCACTTGATAAGATATTGTGTCACGCCTTTTCGTTTGCGCTTGTTGACAATCTTTTCTGCGCGGAAAATGGTTTCGTTGTCTACAAAATTGTCCTCATCGGTGTCTTCTATTTCATCATCTTTCTCGTGCGGTTCATTGCCAGGGGTTGCTTCAGACGGTTCGTCATTCTGATCTTGATCCTGGACAGGTTCAAAACTGTCATCAAGCATCTCGGTTTCCTTTAAATAAGGCTCGTTGAGTACATCAGCCGGAGGTACTCCGATTGGTCGTGCGTCAGGATCAACATAGCGCTTCATGCGATTGACGTGCACACTAGTAGACATACGGCTGTTTTCGGGAGTACGAAGTACAAAATGTACCGGAGATAGTTGTTTTACCAAGCGGTACGGCCCATGCCAGTTGTGTGCCAACTTCTTGGTCAGTCCTTTCTTGACATGAGGTGTGTAGACCCAAACCTTGTCTCCGACCCGGAATTGCGGGTTTCCTGTGTGCTCGTCATAGTATGTTTTCATCTTTTGTTGCGCGCGTTGTATATTCTCTCTGGCGATTTCATGAACACGCTCAATACTCTTTACAATTCTTTCTCGGTGTTCAGCGACAGATGCCGACATATTAGCTGGCGGAAGTAAACTGACATCCATTGGTAGGCGTGGCTCTCGTCCGTATAATAGATAGAAGGGAGATTCTCCGGTAACTTCTGATGGCGATACGCGGTATGCAAATAAGACGGTTTGCAGGTGTAGATCCCAGTCAGATTGTTGATCGTTAACATACATGGATAGGCTTTGAGCCAGGGTTCCGTTGAAGCGTTCAACCAATCCGTCCGTCTGCGGGTGATAAGCCGTGGTGTTAACTTTCTCAGTATTAACTAATCGGCATACTTCCTTTACTAGAGTAGATAAGAAGTTAGCTCCTCTATCGGACAATAGTGTTCTGGGTGCGCCATGTCTGGTAATGATCTGCTCGTAAAGCAGTCGGGCAATCGTCGGCGCGTCGGCTGACTCTACACTGAATGCTTCCGGCCATCTGGTCAGATAGTCACTAAAGACGACAATGAATTTATTGCCGCTGCCCTTGCATTTTGGTATTGGTCCTAAAACATCGACTGCTAGCTTGTCAAATGCTCCCTCTACTTGCATTGGCATCAGGGGTCCTTGTGTTCGTTGTCTAGGGTTTTTCTTCATCGCGCATGCGACACACGAAGTCACCCAGTGATCGATGTCTGCGTACATCTTCCGCCAATAATAGCGTTCTCGTATCTTTTCATATGTTTTGAACACGCCAAGATGTCCGGAGCTGACGTCGTCATGGCCAAATAACAAAACCTCATGTTTCAGCGCGGCCGGTATAACGAGTTGTCTTCTGGTCGTGCCCTTCCTTGGAGTCCACAGGTGATATAGAAGTCCCTCTTCGTCTAAGAAGTAATCATCAANTAGATCAAGCATATCTCCCAGTTAAGTCCTCTCAATACGTGTTCCATAAGGCGTTGGAAGGTTGAGGGTGCATTACATAGTCCGAACGGCATTACGCAGAACTCCCAGAGTCCATTGCTGGTTACGAAGGCCGTCTTTTCGGTAGAATCTGGTGCCATGGCAACTTGATGATATCCTGACATGAGATCAAGAGTGGTGAAGTATTTTGCTCCACTAAGCGACGTTAAGGCTTGTTCAATCCTCGGTAAGGGATAGGCATCTTTCTTGCTAGCATGGTTCAGCTTGCGGTAATCCACGCAGAATCGGTAAGTCTTGTCAGGTTTCTGTACAAGCACTACAGGGGCGGCCCAAGGCGAGACAGACGGCTGGATGACTCCTCGCTCGTACATGTCTTTAACTTGCTTGTCAATTTCTTCTTTTTGACGRTCAGCAACRCGATATGGCCTCAATCGGATGGGCGGATTATCTCCAGTGTTTATATGGTGACGTATGATATCCGTTTTTCCCATTTCGCTAGGTCCTAGTGCAAACGCTTTGCGATAACCTTGTAGGAAGTCGTGTAGTTGCTGCGCTTGCTCGCCGTCAAGATGTACATCTTTTAAATCCAGGGGTACTGGTAAGTCAGACAAATCTGCTTCTTTCTTCTCGCCTTGATCATTCACTAAGGCCTCTGGTTGTCCTTCGCTCAAAACTTCGGTAAATTCGCCGAGTGTCGTTTCTCTGTAAATAGTCTTTGGTTCACTGGTAGGATTCATGAGGCGGAACATAGTGTCACCAGCAGGGGTCACGTTCACCATGGCAACAGCACCACGTAACTGATAACGTTCTACTAGTCTTGGATGTCCTTCGATAACTCCAGTGATTTCTCGTCCCAGTTGTTCTATTAGTTTAGCGGGTATAAGTACTTCGGAATGTGGAGGTACAATCGTTGTTTTTCTGGCTCGTATTTTACCCGTATGTGGCATCCAGGTGTTTATTTCTGGAGCAAGTTGRATTGTGTGGTTAGCCATGTCAATAACAGCTTTGTTGGCGGCTAGAAAATCTCTTCCTAACACAATRTCAAACTCTACTTTCTCTARAACATTCAGGTTTACATCGTAGGAGTGTCCTTGGATGACTATCGGTARTTTTACWACGCCCACRATTGACAATCGTTGACCGCTSACGGTTTTGACAGCTCGTGCATTCTCTTCGTTGAGTAAYTTCCTATACTCGTAGGGGAGTTGCATAAGAAACGCRTGGTCCATGACTGATATCTTAGCTCCAGTATCAACCAATAACTGCACAGCGCGGGAACCCACAGTCCCTTCCACGAACAGATCAGGTGATACCGCAATGGGGTCCATAGCGCATAGTAATTCCTCTGATTGGTCTGTTTCTGTGGCGATTGGAGTTACTTGCTCGGCTGTAGTTAAGATTTGCGTATCTGGTTCGTCTTTGTTCTCCCCTCGTATACAAGCGACCGA